TTCTCTGGGAGGGGGTTTTGGCTGGGCACCGAAATTTTTTTATAATACCTCCACCATTTTAAGTCCTTAAAATTTGTAAATAACAGTGTCGGAATAGGGTCTTGGAAGGGGAGTTTTGGCCCCAAAAACTTCTGGGTGCGCCACTGGGCGGTATTGCATTACATTTTTAAATTACTCACTATCCATAACTGCTACGATTATTCACATTAACAATGAAAAACCAGACAAAGTTATAAATGGTAGGTACTTTAGTAGAAAAATTTATTAATTATTATAATATATTATAAATCACTTACAAGAAATTAACTCAACAAATTGAAATAAAGTGATTGGTGTACTTTTGCAATAAGATTTTTTTGCATAATTCCAGTAAATGCTCTTTTGTTTCCTCTCCTATAGTAGGAGGCTTTTCGTAGGCTGGTTTTAAGTTATATTGCTTTAAAACATTATGACCAGAAAAACGACGAGTAGAAAGGTCAATAGTTTTATAGGTTGTATCGTCAAAGTTAGTTTTGTAAAAAACTTTTGTAGGAAAACACTTTTCTACTTTAAGAATTTGTATATTATTCCATATTACCTGTTCGTTATCCGATTTTTTGGTGAATTTTTGCCCAAAAATTTTTGAAAGATTCTTAAAGTCAAAAAATTCTTCAGTATCCATTTCATTCACTTTATAGGGTCTACCGTTCCTTTTTTTTTTACGTCACTTATTAAACCTCTTTTTTCTACCTATATCTTTTGTTTGTTAAAAAATATTAATTCTTTCTAAGGGTAATAAACCTTCATTTTTATAGCACTTTTATAAAAATATGAACGTGGTTTTTAATTCTTCTCAACTTTTAATAATAAAATGTTTCGATATTGCCAATAATGAAAGTACTTCTTGAGAACAAGAAATAATAAATATTTTTTTCCTAAAATTTTAATTTTACATTATTAGTTTGAAAAGAATTAACATTCAAATATACCTATTTACTTTCTTTTGAAATATAATCTAATAAGTGATGTTTTAAACTTTCTAATCCTGTCTGTTTATCAGCTTTTACCTATTGTTCCTAGGCAGATGGCCCTCAACTATTTATATGTTGGAAATTTCCTGTCATTTTATCAAGATAAAATATGTACTTACATTATTCATTTCTAACGTTCGTAATTTGTGGTATTTTGTCAAAGTCAAAATCGGTTGCATTTGGTGCTCACCACTAATTACTTTTAAAATCTCGATGACTTAATTTCAGATAGCCTCAGAAAATTTTTAAACGTAAAGAGTATGCGATCGAACAGTAGATCATATTGATTTTATTCACCTCTATTCAATTTCTTATTTTGCAGAGAATATAATTGACTTCTATATTGCCATTTCTAGATAAATTGTCAATTTTTTGTTGTACAATGTTACTATCAGAACAACATTTATATCCTTTTCCTATCGAAGGTTGGCCATCACCACAGCTATCCATACTTTATTGGCAGCTGCTCTGAAAAGATCTATTGAGCTGCAACTATACCACTCTCTTAAGTTTCTCAGCCAGGAAATTATTTTTCTACCTATGGATCTTTTACCCTAAATGTAATGTAACCTAAATGTACCTTCGGTAATGTAACCTAAATATTCCAGTTTTCTTGTTTTGATGTTCTTTATCACCTCGCAATCCTTTTGTAACATTGTTAACATAATTAACACCTTTGCATTTGTAACTCGTTAGATCCAGGTATTTTCAAAATCCCTCTATAGTACCACATTTTAAATGCTTTCAACTTCTTTATATTGTCTACTTTTAGTGTCTAGCTTTCCATTCCATGTAACAAAGTCGAGAACACGTAGCATCTTACGGCTCTTATCCTCAGCTCCAGAGGACGATCTCGATTTTGTTCTGAAGCTATTTTCTTGTGGCGGTATTGCAATTAACTAGTTTTGATAGGAAATAAGCTACAATTTTACTAAAAAATGATTTTATTAACGTTTCGATACCCAAATTGGGTTTCGTTGTTAAAATACAAAAATTATTAATGAATTAAACAAAAGTGTTGTTGCTTAGTAAAAAAATTCTTCTAATAATTTATTTAATCTGATTTTATTTATTTATATCGAAAATTTAGACCTATATTAAACATTTTAAAGTAGGAGACTTTAAAATGATATTGCCATTTAAAATAAGTTGCGTTCCTGGGACGACTTTATTGAAAGATAGTTTCAAAAGACATCCAATTGCAATGGTGACAGTAAAATTCTCGCGATAGAATATAAATATAGTCCCAGGAACGGAACTCATAAATATTAGTAATATCATTTTAAAGTCTTTTACTTTAAAATGTATAATACATGTCTGAATTGCGAATATAAATGACTCAAATTAAATAAATTATTAGGAGAATTTTTTTACTAAGCAACAACATTTTTGTTTAACTCATTAATAATTTTTGTATTTTGACAACGACACCAGATTTGGGCGTCAAAACGTAAATTTTAGTAAAATTGTGGCTTATTTCCCATCAAAAATAGTTAAGATCTCGATTAACAATCATTTTTTTTTCATTTTATAAATGCTTGTTTTGCAATTTCAATGCGTGTCCTGATTTCTCTAATAAATACCTTCGTCATTGTTTTTTTTTTTTTTGTATTATTATAATGATCTGTAAGTTTCATTTGTTTAAAGGGCTTATTTTTTAACAATTTTTTTAATATTCAAAAAATGCTTTTTTTTAAATAACTTAAAATTTGTTAATGACACCAAAAATCACAAAGAGTAAAAAGATGTAGCTTTTGCTTTTTTGAATATGTTGGTCATAGTTTACTTACTTTTGATGCTAGAAAGGTAAAAAAAATAAACCTTTTTAAACACTTTAAAAAAAGTTGTAATGAGATTTCGTCGAAAAGTGCTTCATTTTTTTATTATTTCACGTTGAAATATTCAACATGGAATTTGACGAATAAGAACCTATTTTTCAATAATTCGAAAAGTATTGACGAAAAACTCTATAGAACAAAAATTGCTTAGAATTACTGATTTTAGGCACTTCCGAACTTGTCTTGAAAATATATTTTTTCACTACCAAGAAGGGGTGAGACTGAACCATAGGGCAAAAGCATAATCTTTTTTTTTTCTTTGACATCTTAGCTAGGCGTAAGCCAAATTTCATGTCAGTTCAAGCGATTCTTTAAAATTAGGAGGTTTAAATTTTTTATTGTATTGATAAATAAATAATTTTTATAAAACCTTTACTGTTTTCACAAATCAATTTTTAGCGTTTTTTCAGAAGTAAAATCGGAATTTCATAATATAGATTACAAGTACGTTAAAATTATTTGTGAAAATGCTGAATGCCATCCTTATATTGTCGTCTATTTCACTAGACAATGGCCGGATCAGATAACTCAAATTTATTTTTCACCCTTGGCAAATATTTCAATTAATGTCGCCACCATACAGTCAGGTAGTAAGTACTTGGTCGTGAGGGGCAAAGAGATGTAAGTGGGCGGAATTGAACACTAAAGTCGTTTTACCTTAGGGCGAGGTATCTAGGTGTTGGTTTATAATCAGTGGTTCAACCGAGAGATATACATGGGATCTTAAATTATAAGCGGAAAAGTCAGCGACGGCAGCGGAAGTCGGACTAGCAACTAATGTGTGTTTTGTAGATAATTAGTGGTATGTAGATACAAGCTGTGAGTTAGATAAAATAATGCTTGAAAAACAAGCACATGTTGTAGGCACCCGCAGAGCAAATAAGAAAAACATTCCAAAAAATGTGCTTTAAGGAAAAATAAAAAAGGGAGAGATGGAAAGGGAAAATGTCTCGCGAGAAAAAAAAACGGAATAGAAGTTTTGAAATAGAGACACGCGAGATGTTAGGTTGCTGTCAAAAAATAATGCCCCAAATATGACGCCATTGCCCAGGATTACAAAGAAACACTCAGGTGAAACCAAGGAACCAAACTATGCACTAGCTAGTACCTCCGGTACTACCATGAAAATTGCGAAGACCTCTCAGAAGCAAGCACTGACATAGAGGACTAGTTCCAGTGAAGAAAAAAAGAAAATATCGAGAGGCAGAAGAAAAGGCACTTGCCATTCTAGCCTACAATAAAGAAAAAGCTGTGATTAATTTGTCAGGTCAGATGAAACCATGTGCTACTACGGTTCGAAGGACTGTAAAATGGTACAGGAAGTTAGGAATGAAAATGCTTCTGAGAATATCGGTAGTAAATGCATGGGTTTTATACAAACGGATCACCAAAAAGAAAATGCAAATCCGTGCTTCTCGTGACACCTTGATAGCAGAGCTTCTTAATATCGAAGGGTTGGCAAACAAGCAGTTGCCAGAGAAACGCAAAGATTACCACCATTTACTTATAGGAGTCGGGAAAGATGGAAAACAATCCGCCGTAAATGTTCGATTTGTTACGTAAAAATTCAAAAAGAATCAGGACGTGTAGTTGCTTAATCTAAAGCAAAATTAATATAAAATTATTGCAACAGGTGTCCAGAACAGTCGCAAATGTGTATTAGAAGTTTCAATAAAAAACTTTAACTTTCCATAATTTTTTCTATTGCGTTTCGAAAAAACTTTATGTTTGGGTATGTATTGTTTAAGTTCTCAAAACTTGCTTTTTAGAATAACCTTTTGGTTACTATTATGGTAAAAGTCTAAAACTAAGTTTATTTTTTTGTAAAATAAATATTTTCAAAATTTTTTGGTCTCCACAATTTATTTTTCCAATTTTGTTTAAACCGAGGTCCACATAACTTTCCCCAGGGGCCATGCTGGCTATATAATAACGTATCTGTGCAGTGTATTACAAGATAATAAACAAATTGAAAATAAATTAGCACAATAAGTTTTAATATTTTTATTAACATCGAGTAAAACTATCGAATAAAAAGGCATGTAATTTTTAATTTTTCTTCTCGTGAATATACAGTCGTAATTATTTTCTGAAGTATCTACACAAAGTTTTTAATGTACAATAATATATGCCAGTGTTTTAACTCATTTTGCTAGCGACTTTTGAATTTTATAGTAACGTCTTTAATATCTTCAGGTTTCATATCTTTGTCATCCCAGCCCCAAACCACTTTCTCATTTAAGTCGTGGTGATCTTGCGTATTACCATTCTCCAAAGGAAGTTTACCGTGTTCATGTGATCCATCTCCTGTTCTCGCAATTCGTTTTCGGACCATATCCGGCGACACTGTCTTAAGGTCGTACGCTTGGCCAAGATAAGCCATTAGGTCCAAAAATCCAGTAGTTCCGTTCAGCCTATAGTTTCCAAGTTCGGCAGCTTTGTAGTCCCATGGAAAGGTATGGTGATAGTTATGCCAGCCTTCGCCTAAGGTAATCAACGAAACAGACGGATTTTCTACTGGATTGATAGATCTATAATAACAAAAAATAAAATAAATAGGAATAAGGTAATACAATGTTCCGAAATTTAAATGCAATTATACAGTGAGTTCTTGTATGGAAAGACACACGCACTAACAGAAACACACAAATACACAGAAAGTATATGTTGTAGGAGCACCACCACCACTTGCAAGAGTAGCAAGTAGATGGTAGATTCAGGTGGTTTTCAAGACATCAAAGCATCCCTGTCATAGGGCCAAAAGACCAATCGTCAACATATCGAAGCCAACATATGGGTTTGAGTATTGATGTGCACAGTGCTCGCGTCTTTGTCTTTTATAAAAATATTTACAATTGCTGGAGATTTCGAGCAGTGTATAGGCTATTTGGGCCTGACGGTCAAAGTCGAATTCTGATGTTATTAGCGCCATAGTTCGGTAAGCATTGTATCTGCATTACAGGCCAACTCGTAAATTAGCACATCTTAAAACCTTAACCTAGACCGGAACCGTTTGTCAACTGACAGTTGACTTATAACAGGTGTGCAGGTAAATATAGTGATATATGGGGTATAGTCAGAAAATTCTTTTACGGAATTTTTAGCTTGGTGAGGGTGAAATGACTCGTCGAATCGTGACGTAAGAGGCGGAGTGGAAAAGAGGGAAGTGGCTAATTAAAAACAGAAAAAAAAGACATGACAACATTAGCAAAAGGGCATTTTATCATATGTTTATTGTTATTAGGTTGATTGCATTGAGTGATGACTTAAATGAAAGGAGAGGGATAGCGAATATGATAAGAGAGAAAAACATACACTGGCGTTGTCAAAATGCATTACGTCATATATCCGTTCATATTGGTCCTATAGGAGCTTGTGAAGTATTAATCAAGAGGGGAGGATATAAAGAATAGATTACGATAGAAAAACAAACAACGGAACTATCAAAAGGGCACTACAAAGCATCTTCGCTATTAATGAACGTATATCGACATACAAGTGGGGAGTCCATTAGAAATATGCTTTATGGTAATGTAATATGGTAAGGTAAAAAATAGAAATAATAACAATAAAACTTGAAATTTACTAAAATTACGTAAATCGTCAATATCACAGAATAAAACATAACAAAATATACAATCCATTGTAAAATTTCACTATATTGCAAATTGTATAATAAAACCTTACGAATAAGTTTAAGCTGCTGCATGTGATACCCAAATATACATAAAAATATTTGTTGCTTGTACCTAAACGAACTGTACTTTCTTTCAGTCTAGGTCACCTAAAAGGTCTTTCAGATAGATAGGATTTTGTCAATATACGGAACTTAAGCAAATAAGTTGTAGATCTAAGTTTGCAAAGGAAGGTGGTGCAAAAAGGTGGCAAATAAATAATACTAGTAGAGTTATAAACTTGGGGTTTTCAGGCGGTATATTCCTTATTGAAGATCGGATAGAACATGCCTATCAACTTATTCAAGACCTTCAGAGCTCTTGCACATGAGTTGGCCTTAAAATTAAGTTGTACCCAAAACACAATACATGACTAACCTTAACTAGACGTACTAGCCAAAAACATTTCAACTAGACAATTAACAACAACAAGAATTTCAACTATTAAAATTAACTGAGAAAAGTTTTTAGATCAGATATTTCCATGTGCTTGAAAAAAGGGTCTTTAATAATGTGCCTTTGTTTGCTGAACGAGGATTGGGACTCCGAGAATGAAATAAAGAGCAAAGTTGAACAAGCCAGAAATGCTTTTTTCTGACTGATCGCAAATTGGACTTCAATCTCCGAAACAAGATGCTTAAGTATTACGTGTGGCCTGTTCTCTTGTACGGAATGGAAGCATGGACGTTAAAGGCTAGTTCTATTAACAAAGTTGAGGTGTTTGAAATGTGGTGCCTGCGTCGAATGCTTAGAATGTCATGGGCGGACAGGGTCAGAAATGAGGAAGTACTCAGAAGAGCGGGCTTACAGGATAGGGAACTTTTTAGTTATGTAAAATGTAAAAAGACTGCATACTTGGGGCACATATTACGAGAAGAAAGATACACTTTTCAGCAACTGATACTAGAAGGGAAGATAGAGGGTAGGAAAGGTCTGGGACGTAAAAAAATGTCATGGCTGCGCAATATTCGACAATGGACAGGAGGCCACAGTAATGAAATGATCCGCAATGCTGCTAAAAGCAGAATTATTTATTCCTGACTATTTAACATCTCACCTGTACGGTGGACGCCTACGCAGAAATGCACGGCACCTTAAGAAGAAGAAGAATAAATGTGTACTTTCAGTTTTAAACGCATGGAGCAGCGATATTCAACCTTACCAGACAAGTAATTAGTAAGATACAAGTGGCACAGAAAGCAATGGAGAGGTCAATATTGAATATATCTGTCAGAGACAGAATTTCAAATCAAATAGTTAAGGGAAAAACTGGTGTAACGGACGCAGTTGAAAGAACTACAACGCCAAAATGGAACTGGACAGGACATGTTGCCAAAGTTATTGAGGGAAGATAATTCAAGAACATTTTAAAATTAAGACTTAGACACCATGCTTGTCGTAATCGAGGAGGTCTTCCAACAAGGTGGTCAGAGGACATCAAGCGCATCTAGTACAACTGAATTTAGGGTGCTCAAGATTTGATGGAATTAAATTATTTACGGGAGGTGTATGTTCAGTAGTGGTCGTAAAACGGCTAATGATGACGATGACTATCTTCTTCTTCTCGTGCCACTCCTAGCGGAGATTGGAAATCATCATGGCCACTGCGACTTTGTTAGCAGCGCGCCTAAAAAGTTCAATCTAACTACACCCGAACCATTCACTTAGATTACGAAGCCACGATATGTTTGTTCTTTTCACACTTCTTTTGCCCTTATTTTGCCCTGCATGATGTTTCTTAAAAGTTCGTACTTTTCACCTCTCACAATGTGCCCCAAGTATTCCATCTTTCTAGTTTTTATCCCATTTAGAATTTCGCATCTTTTGTCTAAAGTTTGGAGTACTTGCGTGTTAGTGACGCAGTCCATCCATGATATTCTGAGAATGCACCTATAGCACCACATCTCGAAAGCTTCGATGTTTTTTATGGTCAACTGTTTTAGTGTCCAAGCCTTAACTCCATATAACAGGGTAGAAAAAACATAACACCGCAGCATTCGTATTCGTAACTTTATATTGATATCACGATTGCAAAAGAGTTTGCGCATTCTATTAAAGACTGATCTAGCGATTTCTATTCTACATCTAATCTCTTTTGTTTGATCAGTATCGTCTGTGGTCCAAGCACCTAGATATTTATAACAGGGCACACGCTCAATCGTTGTATTGTATATTACAAGATTAGCTCTGATGTTCTTTTATTTCGTGATTACCATAAATTTAGTTTTTTTCAAATTAATTTTCAAGCCGTAACTGCCACAGTATATATTGAGACTTTGAAAGAGATGTTGTAGTTCTACTAGCGTTCCCGTTAGGGGAACTGTATCGTCAGCATAACTTATATTGTTGATCGTCTCACCATTTATTATCAGACCAAGATCTTCTTCCTCGAGTGCTTGTTTACAGATAGCTTCACTATACAGATTAAAAGTGGCGATAAGATACATCCCTGCCGGACTCCTCGACGGATTTGAATTTCTTCTGTTAGTCTGCCCTCAACCTTGACATTTGCTATTTGATTCCAATATAGATTGCATATAATTCGAATATCTCGGCTGTCTATATTTTTCTTTATTAGAACTTGTCTTAGTGGTTCATGTTGTACTTTGTCAAAGGTCTTTTTGAAATCAATAAAGCAGGCGTAAATTTCTTGGTTCATGTCTAAGCATCTCTGTGAGAGAACGTTCATTGCAAACAGAGCCTCCCTTGTACCCAGCCCTTTTCTGAATCCCATCTGAGTGTTACTAATGTCTACGTCTAATTTCCTATAGATCCTATTATAGATTATTTTTAAGAACAGTTTTAGAGCATGTCTCATCAAAGCTATCGTACGATATTCGTTGCATTCCTTTGTATTTGTCTTTTTTGGCAGTAGTATAAAGGTCGAACGGAGCCATTCCCTAGGTATTATTCCAATTCTATAAAATATATTGTGTTAAATAGATCTAGGAGTATTTTAATAGATTCATCGTCCATAAGTTTGAGCAGTTCTACGGGAATTTCATCAGGACCGGGGGCCTTACCACTTTTTGCTTGTTTGATTGCATATTCTATTTCTTCTCTGATTATATCAGGCCCTGTATCATCTGTATATTCGTTTGAGATTTCTTGTCTATCTTTGTCATAAAACAGTTGTGATATGTATTCTGTCCATCGGTTCATTTTTTGTTGTAAATCTGTTATAATTATACCATCTGTAACTTTGATCTGTCCTGTCTGTGTTGTTCTTATCCTTCCTGTCATTTCAATATAGGATTTTTTTTTGTTTTTTTTGTTTTAATAGATCTTCCGCTCCTACTAATCATATGAAAACGTAAATTTTCGTCCACTCTATATAGAAAGTTAGGTTGTCAAATAAATATTAGATGCTCTTACTTGCGCATTATTTTCGTCAACATTTACCGTTTATACAGGGTAGATATTTAGTGAGTATATTTATGATATTAACCGTTTTTAAGAGTGTGACATTATCATAAAAAATAGGCTTTATATGATTGCTAAAAAAAATTAAGATAATATAAAATGCATTCAATAGAATACCAATACTAATTGTAGTCAAATTTTTATAGTTATACTAACCTATCGTAGGGCCTCCATCCCCAGAGATGTGCCGCACTGTTAACCGACCAAGTTCCATTATAAGATATTACATGTCTTATTACTCCAGCCAATAAGGAGTTTGATAACGTATCGCCAAAAAAGTACATTGTACATATTGCTGGTAAAATATATGCCATAAGAAAGGCTAATCTTAAATAATACCTACAAAAAAATTTTATGAAATGCGATATTAAAAATATACAGAAATATTTGCATTAATGTCCACAGTACTTTATGTAATACGCGAGATATTGCTA